AACCGAAACAAGCACCTCACCAAGGAAACCTTGTCTGGAAACACTTCACTCATGTATGCTGGGCTTTAAACTGCAGGACTGAGGAGATGGCTAAGCCAGATAAGTACCACTCTGGAAGTTATGCCTTGATAATTGATGAAAGCCCCATGCAATATCCATCAGTGCTGGACTGACAGGAAATAATGATGGCAAGATCATGTTTTCAACTTGAACGACTGGAACTTGGCTCTTTCTGTTCTGTCATGAAACATATCAGGTATAGAGAACACCAGGAGTTCGAAGAGTAAAAATCAGTTTGCTTAAAGGATGCTGTGTGCTTAAGTTGGCGAATGCAGCAATCTGAATTCTGCAAGGAAGAGCATCTTGTTGATAAGGAGGACTGTCAAAGTATAACGTGGAGTAAATAGCGATGTGAACAAAATGCAGTGTGGTTTAGAAAAGCAAGCGGATTCTGGAGCTATTGTCCGATATGAGGCTTGTTCTTTGGGTCAGCAAGTGGACTTTTGATTTCCCATGACACCATCTTGAATTTGTGAGGCTTTATTTGCAAGCGCTACCAAGACAAAAAAATTTTGGTTTTGACTCCTTGTTGGTAAGGCGAAGAAGATGATTGTGTTATTAGTAATTATACACAAGAAAGAATTGAGACTGATGTTCTGCTCCTAGTATATTGATCCATCCTTGCTTTTCTTGAACCCTCATGGTACCAGCTTCAACAACATGGCTGGACACCTTCCACACTCCCTCATGCAAATATGTCCCTTTTGGTTTACTCATACAGTATGTCTTTGGGCCCTTATTTCACTGATCCTGAAGCATTTCTATGAATTAATATTTACAGTGCCTTTCAAGATTACAATGGTTTGTAGTCTTTTGTTCAAAACTAAAGAGATTGTTTCTTGAACTTGACCGCAATTGGTATTAATAATAACAGCCATGAGAACTGACCTTCACTTTTTGGAGAGCAGGTCACTTATTTTCCAGTTACAATTTACAACAGGGTGCTTGAATCATTTTACAGTAGGACTCCTACAACGGTAATAAATAATCAAATTAAATCCACCTTACGGGAGTAGGACAAAAAAGCCAAAAGGCAAAACTAATAGACAAATGGTGAAAAATATGATTGCAACTTTAAAAAAGGATGAATTGCAGGTTCTTTTTGATGCGATTGTGAGGATCTGTCTCAGGAACAGAAGAGCCAAGAAAGATTATTCAATAATTCAAAGGATGACACAGGAGACTGAGAAGAAATATTTTACTCCACTCCTAATAGTTTGTAATGATTTAAATATTGTATGCACTTTCAGCTTGCCAACTGTTTGTGCTTCACTGTCTTCACTGTCTGCTGGGGAAGATGAAAATGTTTTCAAGTGCAAGCGTTTATTTTTTGGAACTGTAGAGAAAACTGTATAAATGCTAAATCTTTGATTCCCTCTTTAAATGTGGAGCACAAAATCTGCCTTTACTGTTGTTCATCTTCCCAGATTTTGAGAAGCATAAACTGCCAATAAACCACAGCATTGCAAATCACACATGAGCACAGAGCATTACTTAACTGATCCCACAGACGTACCCCTGCCAGAGCCTAGGACGTACAGATGCATCCGTATCAATAGGAATTATTAGAATGTTGTACATTTAAACCAAAAAAATACAGAGCATGGGTTTCTAAATTAAAAAAAGGATTGCAGAGCTCCGGAGCAAAGCCTTCACATCATGTCTGAGCTGTGCTACATCAAAATAAAAGCAATTTCCAAATATTTCTAATGCACACAAATGGAACACCATCCTACAGAAAACTATGTGACCTATCGTAAGTGATCCTTGAGCTGCTTCCTGGCCACCTTTGTCAGGCCACTATACCAAACTCTAAAATTGCTACTGTAAAGAGAAACTTAACTGGTGGGAAACCATTAGTTCCTCCTGGAGTCTGAGAGACTTGCTGCATTCCTCAGCTGCCACTGGCAGCTCTGAGACGAGGGCTGGAGATCCTGATTTCACAGGTCCACTATGGTTTCCAAGACCAACAGCTGACACACATGTATATAACTGTGAAAAACCTCTGGTGTAATGACCTCAAAGTCAATGCTTGCTGTGTTTGTTTGAAAGCAGACCAACATGGAGCATGGTGCAAAGCCTGGAGGACAAGTACAAGCACAGATAGCAGGACTGTGGCTGGGCTCAAGCCTGCCTCTGATCTTGAGAGCCAGTCTTTGCCACACTAACCGGGAGGGAGGGAGACCTGTGTTGCAGCAAACATGGCCTGTTGATTGTCTGCCCTTGACACACTCTCGCTGTTACATGCCAGCGACCTGTCAGCGAATGGAAAATCCCAGTGTATTGCCAGTTGTGTACGTATTTATGAGGGGAGATTGGTTGTGACGCTGGTGGTGGTGGTGGTGGGGAGGGTTGAAAATTGTCATTTATCTGATGGGCTGGCAGCAGCCGTTGTCTTTCTGCCTGACGGAGCACATTAGTGTCTGGGTGCCATGCGAGGCAGCGCCTAACGTCCTCAAATCGATTTACTGCGGTGGGCTGCATGAACAAACAGGCAGAGCGATCGCTCCAGGGTCCCCAGGGCGGCCCTCTGACAACGATAGTCTCTCTCGTAGGTCCTGGGCCACCAACACTGCTCAGAGGAAGTCAAGACATGATGGTTCCTTGTGACCTGAGATGGTAGGGTGAGCTTTTGGGAATTTCCAGAGTCTCACTGTAGTACAGTATAGTTTGTTTTTTTGGAAACCTTCTCCTACAGTCTTTTGCCAACCTTCATCAACTCTTCGTTAACATTTCAGGTCTCGTTTAATATTAATAATTAATAATTGCTTAGACTTTCTGTATATAGCACTTTTATGGACACTCCACTTAAAGTGCTTTACAGGTAATGGGGGGCTCCTCTCCACCACCACCAGGCCCACCTGGATGATACTCCAGTACGCTCACCACACACCAGCTCTCAGTGGGGAGGAGAGCAGTGATGAAGCCAGTGCATAGATGAGGATTATTAGGAGGCCATCATTGGTAAGAGGCAGAGGGAAATTTGGCCAGGTCGCTGGCGTAACACCACTATTTTTTAAAAGTACCCTGGGATTTTTTATGACCGCACGATTTTACATCTTATCCGGAGGACGGCACCTATTTACAGTATAGTTTCCCCAGCATTAGGACCCACATAGACCACAGGGTGAGCGCCCCCTGCTGGCCCCCCACTGACACCACTTCCAGCAGCAACTTTAGTTTTACCCAGGAAGTCTCTCATCCAGGTACTGGCCAGGCTCACACCTGCTGAGCTAAGGGCTGCAAGCTGTGAGTTGCAGGGTGACATGAGGTTTGCGTGTTTTTAAAGCTTACAGTGCATTCTGTCCCAACAGCTTGGTAAGTCAGGCAATGTAACGCACTGATACCATGTCTTGTATCAATTGCTTTGCAGTCTGCATTTCTTGGTGGTGGTCTGTGAAAAGCGTTTTGGCGAATTTCTCATCTTTAAAATCTTAAAACCCCTAAAACGCCTTCAGAAACGCCAGTGTGATTCCCGTGCGTGCCCCTTCACCGATAGAGATGGGAGACCGCAGGAGCGGCCTCAGCCTCGGACAGATGCAATGTAACGTGCTGCTCAGGCACTATCTGCGGAGAGGAGGGTGTAGCATGTTTTGGCCCGCGGCTTTGCGCGATAAACCGACGCTCCTCTCGAGACCACGGCACCCAGGAGCGATTTTCAGCAGCCTGTTTTTGCGGCTGTTTTATTCAGTCACTGCCTCTCAAGTGCCCTTATGGAGCTTTCCTGTCAGCAGCATCTGCTCCTCAGTTACCCCCCCCCACACTCCCCATTCCCTTCCTCTACTGCTGCAGGGTGGCTGGCACTAATAATATCGAGCCCTGGGCTCACAGATGCTTAAAATGTGTAGATCTGTCACATTTCTTCTGTTCTGCGCACTTAGTCCCCTTGTGATCACTGTCCTTCAGTTTACAGCAGGATTTAGGAGGGAGGGAGCAATATGGTTAGACCCCAGACCAGAAAGGCTACTTTATTCACTCGGCTACAGCACTGCCTATGGAAGCTTTCATTGGATAATGGTGCCGAAAACTGATTTGGGCTTTTGTAGTTACTGGCGTTAATTGAAGTTACAATTCCACATAATGAGGGTAAGGATTCATTCTCTAGCCCTGACAGGTTTGCTCCTTTTAATAGCTTAAGGCCTTCCATTTTTTTTTTTTAGAGCAGTTGTTTAAAAAGCACAATGACTCTCAAAAATGAAAAAAGAACCAAACAAAATGAGCCAAATTGAAAAACTCATTTCAGAATCGCCTGTTGAACTCCATTGTAAGGTACTTTCTATGATTAGGGATTTCTTCCTGAGATGACTGAAGTTTACTGCACTATTCATTTCACACAACCCTACCTGCCCGTTAAGGAACGGCAATTATGATCAATGTCATTTGGGTTTAACAGTTATAAAACACCCAGACAGAAAAACAAACCTGCAAAGTCAAAATCCAAATGGCCAAAATGTGTTTTTCCTTTTGTCCGAGGGGAACAACCTCTGACAAAATCCACTTCTTATTCCTCACCTGAACGTTTGTAGTCACAGTTACAATGCTGTTACTGCGGGAAGTGGACGCACTGAGACAATGGTTTTTAATCATAAATTAGAAATCATTTGCCAATGTTCTTGACGGATGAATAAAATTATTTAAAGCACAGATCAAGATGGTATTACCCTAGCATCCTACACGCCTGCCTATGTGCAGGAACACACTCTCTTTCTCCAATATGCAGCATAATCTTGTTACATTTGGAGGCATTGAAAATTAGGAGCATCTAGCTGGCCCATTTGGAGATACAGGCTAAGCAGTTTTAATGAAAACAATTTAGCATGCTTTCCGTTCCATCCTTAAATCCAGACAGAAAAACATCCTGACATGATTTTGGTTAAAACAACACAGAACTTTTCACAGATTTATTGACATGCCACTGAATTTATTAGCTCAGGACTTACAAGTGTTGTTTCCACTGTGCTGGGTCTCTGTGTTTTCTTTTTCCTTCCGGTGCAGTTTTGATTGATCCTTGCCTGATCAAGTCTTGCTTAGCAGCCCCTGAACACTGCGGATTGAAGCTCCGGACAGCAATTTGATCCGAGAAGTCCGGCAGTGGTCTCTGTGCTCTGCAGGCCTGGCCGATGTGAGAACAACATCAAGGTGTGCATCTCCCAGAAAACCCCTGGTAAAAGACAGTCAATGAAACGAGCGTCTATCAGTAAGGGTGCTCCTTCCCATTTCCAAAGACAGATTTGTGTGGAAAATAGCGGCATGAAACCCCTGCTTCAACCCGACCATGCTTAAAGCACGTGGCCGACAAACAGGCTTCATAATGACAATGTATTCAATTTAATTCAATTAATGTGACCCAATGTACTGTATGTCTTCCAGAGCTTGGTCACTTCAAAGGCCATTCCTTGCTTATTTAATGCCTCATTTCCTACACCCCCAAAACATGCACTGCAGAAAAAAGATGATTTTCATTGTGCCGCGTATGAGTGCGTGAATATATCCTATGCAAATATAAATCATTTGCACACTTGCCATACTTTATTCACACAAACTGGGGACTATTTTTTTTAACATTTGGGGTCTGCCTTGAATTTAACTTTCCACAGGTTAACGTTTTCCACAGGTTTAGAAAACCAGCTCTGCATACTTGAAAAACACATTCAAGATTCATTTTTCGGCACAAGCTTTGTGACCCAGAATTTCAAATACGGCCCATTACATACATGCATGCATAGTTCATTTATCAGGAGTGAACATGACTTTTAGTTTAAAAACAAACTGAGTGCCGTTTAAAAAAAACGAATGATAGGCTTTTTTTTGTTTTTTTTTCTTGTTGTACATTTAGGCGATATTTTTCAAAACTTTTACATTTTTCTCACATAAAACACGCTGTGAGAATATACTGCATGCTTTTCTGCTTATGGCTTTCCTCTATGCCTTTCGTAATACTGTAATAATATCAAGTAATACTTCAGTGAATCTGAAAAGTTGTCCTTCAGCTTTGTTTTTCATAGTTTTCTTTTCTTTTGTATAACTTTGGCTGTATAGAATCTTGAAAAAACATGCAAGAGAGCAGGCTGTCATCCAATTAACCCAAGATAAAAACACAGGATGTATTCTAGGACAAAAAGTATAGTAGTTGTAAGTATATCAACTGAGCTTTAATTATTATCTACATAGCAAAACAATATATAAAACGTAGCAAAAATATATGTATTGTAATTCTGTGAATTTTGCTATGTGGTTTGTGCTCAAATTCAGCATTTTTAGTGAGAATCTCTGTCCAGACCCAGATGAATCCAGATTAAGGCGTCACGTAAAATTTAAACAAGTCTCTTTTCACTTTGAGATACAGTACCGTTATCCTTTTTTTGACTGAAATGCATTTCCTAATGACGTGAACTTTTGCTACAAACCAATTAATACTTTTGGTCTGAAAAGTCTGAAATGCATTCAACTGACTTTTTAAATTCAAGTAGGTAGCTGTGTCAGCAGGCATAGGCTGAAAAGAAAACAGTTAAGGTTTATTCCATGCTGAAAGGAAAAGAAGAGAGACAGCATTTTGGCTGCAGAGCCTTCTTCTGCGTCCTGGCCAAATTTCCCATTGGCCCTTACCAATCATGGCCTCCTAATAATCCCCATCTATGAACTGGCTTCATCACTCTGCTCTCCTCCCCACTGATAGCTGATGTGTGGAGCGTTCTGCGAACTATGGCTGCCGTCGCATCATCAAGGTGGGGCTTCACATAGGTGGTGGTGGAGGGGATCCCCATTACCTGTAAAGCGCTTTGAGTGGAGTGTCCAGAAAAAGCGCTATATAAGTGTAAGCAATTATTATTCAGGTGTGACACCTGTTTTTTTTATATTTACTACAAAGCTGAAATGTTGTCTCTTTTCTTTTCAGCATTTAATGTTTAAAGGCAGGATCCTAACATCCAGTCTTGATTGCAAGCTTAGTTCTACAGTATGTCTTGAATTAGAAGAACTGACAGCATGGAGTTTAAAAGAATCCTAACTTGTATAAAACTTGAGACATTGCTGCAAGATCCAGTTATTCAATTACAGTATATTTACATTTACCTCTCTCTCAAAGGTTAAATGATGTTGATTGAGGTAATTTAAAGATAGATCTTTGAGCAAATGACATTTGGCTGACTGGCACTAAATTATCCAGTGCCACTGTTCTCCGCTTCTCTTTCAAGTTCTTGAGATACTAAATTAAAATGTAAAGAATGCTAATTTAAAATGAGGAAGACAAAGGTCACTCCAATCATGCAGCAAATGAAGAATGATTTAATTTTAATTGAACTGCATTTGATTTTTAATTAAAACTGCCACAAGAAATGTCAAAATACCATTGGCATACTTTTTGTGCTCATGTGTCTTTATGTATTTGATTTTATTGTGTCCAAGAAGAAATCAATAAGCATGTCACCTCCACCCTTGTTTAATTCACAAATTAATTCCTGCTTAATCCAAAAGATTCAACCACTGATTGTTTACATTAATAGTGAGGAGCTTTGCAAACTATAAATTACTCATCTGGTATAACTATAACAAGTTCTAGGTGATATCATGCTCACATACAGTATACAGTGAATCACTTTAACAGCTTTTATTTAAAAATAAAATCAAATGATTGAGATTAGCGGAGGACGGTTATCATTATTAATTTGGATTTTATGCCACCTCTGTACAAGTTAAAGAATATCATCGCAGTCATATGTAAATAATTTCTATTTTTGTGTGCTCAGCTAATTAGGCCATTCACATGCCCTTGCAGATCCACGTATTGTATGATAATAAATGCTGTGTCATCTGTGTTGGAAGAAGAGTGAAAGCAATGAAAAAAGTGGAGGTCAGACAATGAAAAATCTTTGCAGAATAACAATCACTTGAAACCCAAATAAACTCTGCACAGGAGAGCACATTTCCAAAAATAATCTGCTAAACCTACTCCTGGGGATTGTGTAAGGAGATGCAGAACAATTGAAAAGAGAGGGTAAAGTTACACCTGTGCAAGACATTTATTTATCTCCAGTGACCTTGTGTGGTATTCTGTATCATTTGCCCAGTAGCAGTATACATGATTTGTTCTTGTTTTTTATGATATGCCCATCCAATTTAGAACGGCCAGTTGTGACTTTAGATGTCAGAGCACTGCGCTCACATGGGCGGAATAAAGAAACACAGCCAGGCTCCATCAGGAGCAGCACTGACTGCGTCACCCTGACTGACCATCCAGGAAGTCATGGCAGGTGCAGACTTGCATTTTCCATGCAGGGTGCTCACAACTGAAGAAGGCTCCACGGCCGAAACGTTTTCTTTCTTCTTTTTTTCCAGCATGGAATAAACCTATTACTTGTTCCTTAACAACTGAGTGCCTGCCTCCTAGCTTGGTTCTGTCTATATACTGTAAAGGCCAAATGGAAGGAATTTAGGAATTGTGGATGTTTCATGACACCAGAATACATGCCATGCAATCTGACAGTGTTGTTTCTGTCTGATCAGGTGCTACAGTCAGATAAGAGTCCTACAGCCTAGGACCAGTAAAAGCGAAATGACAGTGTCTGAAATTTCTCCAGCCTACGGTTAGCTTTTTCATGCTTGAATGTGGTGGTTTCTGTAGGTACTGAGGACTCCCTGGGGGACAGTTAATATTAGCGCCCACATGCAACCAGATTTATTGGCGTACAGATGTCAACTGTTTCATTTACTTCTGTATTCTGTGCTTACAGCAGATGTATTCACTTACACAACATACTGTAGATGTTGAATATTTCTAGAGGGATATTTTACAATATAAATACTTCAAAATGAAAATACTTCAAACGTTTGCTGCAATGTCTTTCCTTCTCTCTGCCTCTTTTCTTTCATTTCTGCTTTTTGGTGGTTGTCATCTTCTGTGTATTAACGTAGGGTTTGGCAGTTTCCCCTTGCTTGAAAGAAAGTAAAAAAAAAAAGACCCCCTTTTGTGTAACAGCACAATAATAATCCAGACCCACTGTAACACAATTGTGAAATATTTTAGATGTAAGGATATAGAAGAGACAGGTGTCAAGATGACCAAGTGTCTGATTATGTAATCGTACAGTCTATGATAGCTGCTTTGGCTGAATACTCAGTCCTAGTTATAGACTCAGTCCTCGTGCTCAGGACCAAAATGAGATCAGCTATGAATTGTTCCTTATAGCAACAACACGCCCGGGATTTGAAGCCGCCAGCCTGTATAAAGCTATGACCAAATAGCCTGCAGGCTGTAGCAGGGTCTTTTGGAGAGAGAGAGGAATGGTGCTCATTTAAATGGCACTCCAGAGGGCAGGGAGATAATCAATGGAAGGGCTGGTGACCCTTGGAGGGGGAGCACGAGGGATCAACAGATTAGTATTGATCGCCTGTTCCGAGGCCCTGATGGTAGGGAGAAATGAATCAACTGCCTCTCTGAACCCCTATCAATCCTCACTCCGTTAACTGTGTCATCAATGCAGGGAAGTGGGAGCAGTGCTTTCAATGAAGGAGAAGGATCTGGCTTCACGGAATGTTGTGGTCTAGTCTGTTTGAAGCTTAGGTGTGAAAAAGATCATACTTTTCATAAAAGATCCTATTTGTAATACGTTAGGCGATCGGTGATTTCCCCCCCCACAGTTCTGCCTGTAGCTACGAAGCCCATGATTACAGACAAAGTAAGAGTCTGTAATACCGGCAGACCCCTTCTGACCTGCCCGCCTTTGAGCCACTTGTCTTGTAGCAAGTCACAGCCGAGTACCAGAGTCTTAGGGAGCACTGCGATCAACCGGGAGGGGCACCTGGAAACCAGTCGCGGTCAGCTAGTAATACGAATCAGTCAAGAGGCCGATGATCTTTGAGAAAGTCAGGGGATGACAAAATGTTAAAAAAAATCGACTCTACATTCACACACCTCAAAATTTATCGAGAGGAAAGAAGGGATATCGTTTAGCGACGGCGGCGAGCCGTCTCCCCCGTCACCCTTGCGCGCAGCTTTGATTTCAATGCATCGTTCAGACCTGTCATTACCACTGTATTCGCGCAGTAGCGGGGGATGGTGTAGCTGCGACAGACGAAGCATCCTGTGCAACAGCGTGGAACCATCCAGCCTCATTATCATTAGCAGGCCCAGGATTGGCAGTACAGCATAGGACAGCTGTGGGC